ATATATATAATTAACATACATATAGGTTCAAACAAGATTTTTATATGGAATAAAAAAGGAATTATGAACAAGAAATCACAGAAACTTTTTGGTTTTAGAACCAAGACACGAATAACATAAAAAGTTAATTTTTTTTAGATTAATTAAATTAGTGTAATAAAAATCCCGTTTATGTATTATAGTTTCAGAGATATATTATAGAATGTTTTTTACAAAATATCATAAATTAGTTTTTATCACGAATTTAAGTTTAGATGAAGTAAAAATGATAAAGTTAAGTAATGTATAAAAAAGAAAAACCTATAAACATGAATTTTAGATATTTTGAATTGAAAATAATATTATGATTTTTCATATATAATCGATTATGACTCATTAATGTTAAATCTTTTTTAGAAAATATTTATGAATTTTCACTTCCAATTTCTATATATGATGGTTACAACGTAATACAAATCGTTAAGAATAAATATACATCTACTGTACAATGTAATTTGTAAGTATAGCCAATAAAATAAAATGTTTTAGTTCAGTTCATTTTCTTTTTCCTAAGACAAATTACAATAATGAATTTTATACATATAAGAAATGATAATTTGTTGGAAGATCCGTCCTTGTGCCCATACAACTTTAAGATGAGATTGTGATCATTAATTTGCTAGATCATGCATGAAAAATATATAGAACAAAAAAAGGAAGAAAAATTTAATGGAATTTGCGTTGGGAATATCCTTCACTTAATTATTATAATCATATTATATTGTGTATATGTGGATGCAAGTAATGGGTAGGTTCCATTATCACATGCACCAAAATTGTGCCACTCTTAAAATTGTAGTTTAAGTTGTATTTTTGTTGAGGCTATGTGGAATCTTGGAGAAGGTTAGGTCCATGCACAAATGAAAAGATAAGATAAAGAAAAGAGAATATAATAGCACATTATTCATTGATAAGTTAGAGAAGAATAGAAAAGAATGTGGTCCTTTTCTTCTGGAATATTCGGGTGGATCATAGCACATTGGTGCTTTTCCTTTTCTCAATAGATACCTAGCTATGGATATCAGGGCAATAAATTATAAGCACAAAGCTCCAACTTCAACTTTTGTCTTTGATTTCTATTTTTTTTTTTAAATACCGTATGAACTTGTTTAGGTTGAATGTGGAACAGGTAAATAATTAATGTTTGAAGTTAAAGTTTCCTCTTTGTTAAAACAAAATCATATATATAAAACTTTATGTTTAAATGTTGTCGTATTTTGAAATTTAAACAAATAATATTAAACGAAACGAAAATCTAAAAATGTTATCACTAGAATAATAAAATAAAGATAAGCAGAAACATAATTGTTAAGCTTAAAATCTCTAATAATCTAAGTTTTAGAAAAACACTTATACATAAACTAAATATAAAACAACCAAAGTTAATTGATTTGAATTACACATCATCACTTAATATAAAACATAAAACGACTGAGAAGGATTTTCTATAACGAAGCTTCTGACAAAACGAAAACAAAATCTCAAAATTTTGCAACCAATGCGCCATTGCTTCCTTATGTAAATTTTGATTTCCATATCAACATGAAAAAAAAAAAAGACTAATCAACGAAGGACATATGAGCCTGTAAAAAATGTTGTAAAAATCCTGTGCAACATTTCGTTTTCCTTCAAATAGAAATAAATAAGTAGAAATTAAAAAAAGAAGAAAAAAAATATTGAATAAAAAGCATACAAATACTCTAAAAACACTATGATTATAATTTATGATAATGTTGTATCAAAGTGTCGTATTCAATAGATTGACTTCAATAGACTTAATTTAACATTTTATTCACATCTAACAAAAAATCTCATGATAGCCCATAATTGAGTAATATTCAAGTTAATATTTACTATCGTTTCTTAATCATTTAGCTAACATTTTTTTTTTATCTAAGTTACTCTTCATACATTTAAAAGAACTTTTAATGTCTCCTTACACTATTCTATAATATAACTAACTACCACGTTTTACATGTATGAATGAACTTTTATTTATTCTAAACAACTAACTTTTAATATCATTATTTTTTAGGGTTCAGTTAGGAGTATATTTAAAGTGAGTGAATCTCTAAAAAAAAAAAACTATTTTTATAAATATGACCCACTTCTATTTTAAGGTTTTTTCTTAAATTAATTTTAATAAAAAAAAGAAAAATATTTTAAAATATTTATGAAACTCCAATAATATCTATAAAAAAATATTTCAAAACATCTAAACTCAAGGATACCTAAATATATGTCAGAACCCTTAAAAACCCTGAGTTAGTGGAAGCTAGGTGTAGGTGCAAGGGTTCTGAAATTCAGAAAGTGAAAGACAGGTGTGGGCTGTAGAGTGGACGATCGGTTTTGACGGTAGTTTATAAGTTAAAAGTTTTCAAAATTCGTGCCACTTTTCTGCATGCACCATTCTCTTCCAAATATTCTGAGTTCTTCATTTCTCCTACTTCTCTCTACAATCTTCATCTTCTCTCTAAGAATTCTCATCTTTTTCTTCTTCCAATCTTCAATCAGACCATGTCTGAGTCTTCCTAGTGTCAGGAGTAGGGATGGCAACGGATCGGGTCGGGCACGGATAGTGCCTACCCGCAACCCGACCCGACAAAAAAAAATCCACCCGCTACCCGACCCGCTACCTGCACGGATATCCGCTTAAAAAATATCCGCGGATGTTTTAAAACCCGCGGATATCCGTGGATACCCGTGGATATCCCATAAATATTTAAAAAAATATATTTTTATAAAATATTATAATAAAATTTAAATAAAATTACAAAAAATATATAAAATATAATATATATTAAATTAAATATAAATTAAAATTTAATTTTAATTATATTTAACTTTATAAAATATAAATTAATGTTAATTTTAATTAAATTTAACTTAATAAAATATAAATTAAATTTTTATTTTTATTTTTTGCGGGTAGCGGATATCCGTGGATACGGATAGTATAATACCCGCACCCGACCCGTTTATAAGCGGGTATTAAAAAACCCGCTACCCGCAACCCGCGGATAGTAAATATCCGCGGGTACCAACTATCCGTCGCGGATTTTATCCGCGGATATCCGCGGGCGCGGATTTTTTTGCCATCCCTA